AAATTTTAATTTACAATCATAAACTAAATAATAGAGGGGAAGTAGTTGAGTCGGTAATTAAAAGTCAAAGAAAAGAATGATAAAGTATGTTGGGCTTTCATATTTTTGTAACTAGTCATACCATTTTGTAAATATGTGGATATAAATAAGTTTGTTTTGGAATTGTCTCTAGTCTTATGTTTATATGGATGGGGATAAAGATGACGATTTTGTGGTCTTATGTTATTTGTTGCTCATATCCAGTCCCTCTACATTCTGCTATCTAACAGGTCCCTGCTCAGTAAAATCAGGATACTATCTAGCTTGTGTATGTCGTGAAACTAAACAAAGCTCGGTCTTCCATGTGGATTGTAAGTGCTCAGATTTCCCCAACTGTTTTGAAACACTTATGGAGAGCTAAAGTCCCAGAACACATTAAGTAATTTTTATGGCGGTGTCTCTACAGTGGTTGTCCTACAGCTGAGGTATTATTTTCTAGGGGTATGTCTGTTGCTCCAATTTGCTCACAGTGGGGAATTCAGCTACAAATAGTGTCACACATTTTGTTTGATTGTGCTAGTTCACGTGATATACTGATATTTGGTGATTTGGTGTTGGGCTCCAATTTCAACTTGGGACACCTTGGTGATTGGTTTGCTAACCAGTTCCAGTCGAAACTAAAGAATTCAACTAAGTTCCCATTATTTAATGGACCACAAAATATATAATTCTTGTGTAAATTCAGGTGTTATTCGACAAACCACAACGTAATGGTTTCAGCAGTGACATAGGCAGAAACAAATGTGATTAATGTGAAATATTTTTTTTCTCCATCTTAAATTTTACTTTTTAAATTTCGAGTGCAAAAGTTATATATTAGAAATTGATTCAGACAGAGTTGAATGTTTTTATGTTTTATTCATCTCATAATTACATCTCTTTTTAAGAAAAAAATATATAAATTACTCCTATGTTTTTTGTTCTCTGAAAGGAAAAGTACTTGTTCACATCATTAGGTTCCAAATTTGACTTTTATATGCTAATTCTTTTATTATAATTTATAATTTATTCATAAAGACATTACAATTTAAAATGGTCAAGATATAATAGGTAAGAGAATTGAATCGATGATAAGATTAAATTTCACAACTAATGTTCAAAACTTGGCCGAAGCAAATCCATTTTTTTTTAATATGTTTTCCTTCACATTTTTTTTATGTGGGTAGTATGTACAAGAAAATCCATTTGAAGTCTTTCTTTGTTCATCATGTGGGCAATTTGGAAGGATTAAAATCAGCTTTTTGTCTTTTGATATGCTTGTAGAGCCCAATGTGGTGGTTCAACAAGCAATTTGGAATGTACTAGTTATTAGTCATATTCCCCTATACCTTCTTTACTGGACCAAGTCTCTATGGATGGGGCTACCACACATTCCATAGTTATGAATCAAATTCCCAAACAACAAGCCATATCCTCATTGCAGGTGGATAGGGATTACTATTCATCCACTTTCATTGCAGTAATTTAATGGGTAGTGTATCAATCTAATAGTATGATTATTGACTATACTAGCTTTAGTGTCCTAGCTACGTCAACTTTGCAATACTTGGGGTTTTGAAACTTTGATTTTCAAACTGATTGTGAAGAATTAGCTCAGTCTCTAATGAATGCAAAACTACTCCACAGGATATCGCGCCTATTGTTCAAGGTACCAACAAGTGAACTGTGTCTGTATAGAGCATGTCAGTAGGTCGCATGTCCTTGGAGCACATGCTTTGGGTTTTATCTCTTTGAATGTTTTATTGTTCTGTTTTTAAATGCAATCTGATTGTCAATAAAAAAAAATTAGAGAGAAATACATTGACATAGAATCTGGCTTGGCTCAAGGAATTCCGGTTCATATGTTATTCAAATGTTAAAAAGCTAAAATGTTTCAATTTAGAAAATACAACTTTAATTGAAATGATGTATATATCAAATAGGAAGACATGAATTTATTAGATAGATAATCACAATCGGAAAAATTTGAGACTCTGTTGGTTGCAATGAATTGGTGGTGTAATGGTAGACCTTGAAAGTGAACAACAAAACTAAAAAAATACAACCTTGGAGACATTATACACGATTAACTGAGATTCAAAGAATGCTCAATATATCTGGATAAAAAATTATATACATTTTTAGGAAGTGAATATGATCGTTGACGAGTTAGCAATACTAGCATCACAAGGACTCAGAATAACATATGATGACATGATGAGTCTTCCAGCATCCGTACGTGGAAGACATATTTAGATCAAAGATCTTTTCCATATCTTAGGGTAAGATAATCTCCTACTTTGTAGTAGATAGGTTTTGTGTTTCTGTTTATTATTTTCTTTTTGAACACAATTGCCATTAATATCTGGTAAGATCTTTGGAAGATATCAATCTTAGATGTAGTATGCAATCGAAACCGTCATGGGATTTTAGTAGATCTTTGTACGACGGTTTCTTTTTTTTTTTTTGAGTAAGTCTTAAACACTGTCTTTTGTATTAATTTTTCTTATATTAGTAAAATCGGGAGAATACCCACCAGGTATTGCCCTGGATTTCCTTAAAAAGAAAAACACAACTTTCCAAAGATCTGTGTAGTCTAAGAATGTTTGAATCTTTAGGCATCTGCAACCCATTGATTCAATGAGTGAATATCAAAAAGTAGGCTCAAATCCTCACCCAAGAATTTGAAGAAAGAGTGCAACTCTCCATTTTTATCAAAAATTAACCACTGTATAATGACAATCGACGAAGCCTTAAATAGAAAACAATAACAAAAAAATAAACCCTATTTAAGTAATTTAATTTATCAAAACACCCTTCGACTAAAACCCTAATCGAACTGGTCAAGTGATTTAGCAATCCAACGCCTCTATCATCCCCCATGGGTTGGAGAAAATTCTACCTCAAATTTTGGGGTAGGTTTGCCATGATCAAAAGACATTCCAAAAAGGCTTAGATTATTGAAAAAATACTGAGACTTACATTATTAGGTTAGGTTTTTGTGACTTTATGTCTAACTATCATATATTTTTATTTCTTATTGTGAATTGACAAACATGATGTATACTAGTTTGATGGCTATCGAAGAGACGAATCTAGAATAATTAATGTCGTAGTCTTAAAAAAATCTAAAATGTAACCATACTTGGAATTTATTGAACATAATTTTTGGGTTAAATTATAAATATATTAATGATCACCGCTGAGAAAGTGCACATTACATATGCTCTATTCCTCTCCTATACTTCTATACACAAAGTAATTGTTTCAAGATAGTTACTTCATTGCCTGTTTAATTATAACAAAACATATGTATAATTATATTTATTTTGGATTAAATTTCTTTTACTATGTTATTTGACAGTAAATGATGTAATTATTACCATATACAAATTAAGTTCAATCTATATTTAAATTAGTACAAGAGTAATCTACTCAAATGATCCTTTACATTTATTAAAAACTTAATTTGGTCCTCAAAATTAACAATTCACTAGTTTAGTCCATTATTTGCGTTTTCTACTAAATTGGCCCTTTTTACTTTTTTTGATACTTTAAATTTGGGGTCCTTGAGTTGACCGTTTATGGGACAAGTCAATAGGGTTATATTTGGTAATGCCAAATTTTAATTTTAAAAAATACAAAAAAATAAATTTCCAAAAAATATAAAATATAAATGAATAAGTAATGATTAATTATAAATGTTAATTTAAAAATTAATTAAAAAAATTTAAACAAAAAATTCAAAAATCTGATTTTCTCTTTTTTTAAACCATGTACCCCACCTCTAATAGTCCTTCTCCTTTCACTTTTATGCCCCCTTCCCCATAGCCAAAAAATCAAACTCCGATTCCCAAACCCGCTCCTGGAACCGTCTAAAATGTCCCAGTTTACCACGGACCCTATTTCTAAAATCGGGCGGATAATAATGTGAAGAATATATAAGGGAGAAGCAAAGAGAAAGAAAAAAGTATACAATGAAGGGGTATAAAAGTGAAAGAAGAAGGACCATTACAGCTGGGGTCCATGGGTTAAAAAAAAGATAAAATCATATTCTTTTTGAAAAAAAAACATTGAATTCTATATTTTTAATTTTTTTTAAAAAAATCTTAATTAATTATAAAATCAATGTAGTAAAAAAATATAAAAATTGAAATTAGGCATTATCGAAAAAAACACAAGGTGACCTGAACAAAAAAAAAGTCAACCCCAGAACCCTCAAATTTAAAGTGCCAAAAAATTAAAAGGACCAAATTAGTGAAAAATACAAATGTAATGGACCAAATCAGTGAATAGTTAATGTTAAGGACCAAATTAATTTTTTAACAAATATAAAGGACCGTTTGAGCATATTATCTTAATATAATATACTTAAACTAACTTTTATACTAAATATAGAAATTAAACTGACTTTTATACTAAATATAGAAATTTTCCGTCAAAAATATTTAAAATTCTAAACTGTTTAAACTAAAACATTTAATAATAATAAAAGGGAGAGAATCAAATACGTTTCACTTTTAACTATTTGTGTTGAATGAGAGTTTCAAAATCATATTAATAATCCTTAGGGAAAAAAATCATAAGTATTTATGTGCGCAATGAATTACAAAATCAACCTAACAAATTGAATAAAAAATTTATTTAAAAAAAAACTGAAAATTAGATTAGTTAAACATTAAATTAATTTTTAATACATAAATTTTCAAGCAACCAAATGCAAGAACTGGCATTGCAACTTAATTCCTTACTAATTCTTTAGATATACCAAACAAAAAAATTAGGATTGAATTGTAATTTGAATTTCAATTCTACCGTAGTTTAATTTTAATTCAATTCAAATTCTATCTAATCAAACGGAGCCTGAAGGAAAATTTTTTGAACCGAGAATGGAAAGAGGCCGCATGCTTTGACCAATAAAAAAAAAAAGAAATGAAAAGGCAGCAAGCAAATTTTATTAATTATCAAAGAACATTATTTACCAGGTGAATCCCGAGCTACAGCGGCGTGCAAGGCGGTTCTGCCTCGAGGGCCACGGTAAGCTATTGATTCCAGGCCGGAGGAGAGCATGAAAGCTACAATGTCAATATGTCCCTTTTCAACCGCCAAGTATAAAGGGCTCCCATTGACAAAAACGTCCACCAAAAAAAGAGTTCCGTCGGTATTTCGCTTCGGAAACCAAGACGGAAACTCGAAATGCCGAAACGAATCGACGCTCTTTTCGGCGAATATCTTGACCACGTTAAGCCTGTTATACCTGACAGCCTCAAGGAGTGCGGTTTTCTTATCCTGAGTGCCTTCTTCCGCGTCCATCGCCGGAGGTCGGATAATTTCTACAAGAAAAGATGCCCTCGTATGTTGCCGGAACCAGTCCGTCGTCTTTGCACCAATAAGTGCTTCAACTACGTTTGCGTAACCTCTTCTTGAGGCAATCACCAATGGGGTTTCTCTATTTGTGTTTCTTGTTACAGCTTGGTAGGGTTCCTTTGCGAGCACATTTTTCACGGCTTCTGCGGAATGATCACCGGATTGGGCCAGGACGTGGAGTAGAGTATTCCCGTTTGGAGTTAGCTGTTTGTATAGATCTGGAGGAAATCGTTGGATAGCTTCCCAATTGCCAGTCTGAGCAGCTCGGTAGAGATCAGGGTCCATATGCCGAGTACCTCGGACGGCTAACGTTACTTTTCGAGTTAGATAATCGTCCATCTGTGCAGCCGTGGTTCCGGTTGATGTGTGCAACAATAATAGTACTCGTATGTGATTATATTCTAGTACTTAAAGAAAACGATAAGAAGCCTTCTGCTCGGAGACAAATCTTCTCTTTCTGTGCTTTTATGCTTTTCTTGTGCTTGGGGCAAGTTTTATATATGAATATATGTACTTTTGTTATTTCTGCACTTCTAATCTGTCCTTTACCTTTTCATATAAACCAATTTTTCATCTAAGTGAAAATTAAAAATCTATAGTAATTTGTTTTTTATATACAAGAAAGAGAGGCTATAATAGACTATACAACAGGTGTACATATGTTACTCTAACAACATCATGCTCAAATTAGTATTACTTCCCATGTCGGTTTTTCCGACTAATGCGAAACCACACGAACCTTATATGGCCGCTAATGAAACCAGTGCGCTACAAAATTTGTTTTCCTAAATTATGGTCAAATCTCCATCTCCCAATTTCGCTTTAGAGAACTTATATGTTGGGATCGGATCCATATAGCTTTTTTCCTATATTTTTTAAATTTTGTCCCTAATCATAGGTGGATTCACCTTCTTTTAGGTGAATTTTGTCCAAATTTTTAGCACAACATAAATAGTTTCTTTTTATCTATAAAATAAAAATTTTATATACCGGTGTGGGTAGAGAAAGATTGAAGCTGAAGTTGATAATAGTAGCATCATCAAAATGGTTAAGAGTGAAGATAAGATCTTTGATGTTAACACCGGACTTACTGGTGGTATTAGACAATTTCCTACAACACAGCTGGATGCATGGGATGATTTCCTAATTGATGGATCCAGGGGCGGAGACAGGGTGGGGGCACGTGCCCCCACTCAATTGGTCCCACCATATAATTATTACTTATTATAATTTAAACTATAGAATTAAAAATTGATTAAATTCCTAAACTAGGATACTGACGAGAAAAGAAATGGGTTAAACGTTCATAAGAGTTTTCTGTTTGTAAAATACAAAAGGCCCGCAAACTGGCCCATGGTTCTAAAAGAAACATGCATCTTTCTTCTTCTTTTGTGTAAAAAAAATTAATTAGACAAATAGAAACAAGCATATATGTCTAATTATAAGTCTTATATATTTTTATTAAAATTTGAAGTGAAAAGTTCATTCTTACTCCTTCCGTTACAAGAAAAGAAAGTTCAATTTTGTTTTTTTATAAATTATAATCATATAAACTTTTTTATCGAATCGAAAGAGTATTAGTAGATAAACAATTTTATAAATATTTATTAGTTACATTGGCCAAATTTGATTACAAATCTAAAATTATTTATATTTACCCTCTTTTACTATAGGATTTCTTTAAGAACATTGACTTCAAATTTCTTATTTTCTAATTTCATTTTTTAAAAATTTGTGTTGATATTTGGTGGTGTTAATGTGCCCCCGCTAAGAACTTTTTCTAGCTCCGCCACTGAATGGATCTAGGTAGAAGGTTCTTTTATTAACAAAAAATTATTTCTTTGGCTAAAAAGGACAAATCACCAAGGAGGACATGGCCAACGTATATATGTATTTTCAGTGCTTAATTTGAACAAGATGCTTGTCCCGGGCAAATGCCTAGGGCGTCCCACCTAATAAATCGATATGTAAATAATCAAAACTGATTAGGAATGAATTTAGTTTTTGATGAAGATAATTGATTGACCAGAAATTAATTTTTTCGGAAGTCCTAAATAAATGGAGAAGGAAAATTTCATACACTGTCAAATTCAAAATTTGAATGAACGTGACCATTTGATCTCTTCGTTAATATTGTAAATATATTTTTTATTTTTAAAATGAGGTGACACGTGGTAGAATGATTAATGCAATATGGTGCATTTGGAGCCAAAACATTTTAATAAGAAAATGGCACATCAGCATCCTGTTTTCTGCTTTAATAGGGTAAAAGGGATTTGACAGTTGGCTTTTATTTTTCTTCTTTTTTTTTTTGTTGTTCAAAGTGTCTTAACATGTAAAAAGGATGTACTAAAAAGTAAATATATGAACTAAAAATCATTATGAAAAAGGAACATACTTTGAAAAAGAAAGAAACAAGGCCGAAAGTTTCAGCTCTAGCTCTCTGTAAGTGGCCATTTAATAATGTTCAAAACAGGATTAACACATGAAAGTTTCCACTCTCCCCCTCCCCCCTCTTTCTTTTCGTTCACAACTTTTCTGTGCAAGTTAACCTTGCAACTAGAGCAACCTTAATATGCATTTCACACACTGTCATTATTAGCTTATATTATATTCCCGTGCCATAATTATTGTCTAGTTTGATTAAAATGAAAGATTTTATTTTTAATCAAACTTAACTATATTTTAACTTAAAAAGTCAGATATACCCTAAATTAATTAACCCATAAGGCAATAACCACCACACTAAGCGGCTGTTATGCCGAGATTGAGCCCATTCGCATTCTAAATGAAAGCACAAATCCATTGAAGAACAAAACTTTCTGCATCAAGACGTTGCCCTTGGACCATTAGGAGACATCCCCGTCGTAGATCTACACCAGCACCACCCTTCGTTTGACAGATCGGTGGCAGGCGCCGGAGTCTCGGTGGTTTTCAACATCGGGGGAATTATTATTGATCTACACCGACATCACCCTTCGTTTGACAGATCGGTGGCAAGCGGCGGAGTCTCCGTGGCAGGTCGCGGAGTCTCGATGGCTTTCAAATCGGAGAGTTATTATTGATATACACCGGCACCACCATTTGGTTGACAGATCGGTGGCGGGCGGCGGTGCCATTCTCGGCGGCTTTCATCATCGGATGAGTTGCTATTGATCTCTTCCCAAGGCGCTGACAATTGAAACAACAGATCCTCTGACTACTAAAAGCAAATTATTTCCAATTGATTATCTTCATTGTTTTTTTTTTATTCTGAATTGAACAATTCATATACAATTGAAAAATTAGATTGGGTTTCGTTAGTTCCGGTGCACGGTTCAAAGCTCCGATTTAATCGGTTCTAGTGAAGCGAGATATTTGGGACAAATGAGTAATTTCCTCTATAAAAAGTCAAATCGGACAATAATTTTGGGACAAAATTTTTTTGATAAAATAGACAATAATTATGGGACGGATGGAGTACTAACGTGTATTTTTATCTATTTAAATATTATTTATTAATTATGAAAAAATAAATTTATTAAGTTTTACCAATATGTAAGAGCATGCACCTCATGTATATATGCTTTGTGGATGACCTGATGATGTTTTGTAAAGCTGATTTATCAACAACTGAGATGATTCAAGGGGTATTAATCGAATTTTCAGCTACTTTAGGTTTGGTTGCTAACACATAAATCTGATGTGTACTCTGCAAAAGTGGAAAATAGTAGGAAAAACAAAATCTATGCATTGAAGGAAAAACAATTTGATTACTTTCATTATCTATTACCGTGATTAATTAGGTAAAATCTCCAATGATGGTTGTGAAACCAAATCATAAATTACTAAGGCTCCTTAATTTTCCCTTTTTATTTTAAATATTAATGTTATATATTATTATGTATTGAGGGCAATAATATCTTTGTTATTATCATTGGTTTTACAAATCCTGACAGTATTTACGAATTTGTTAGGCATTGACGTAGCAAAACTGTATTCTCAATCATATTTCACTAATTTTTATTTGATTTTTTTTCTTGAAAAAATCATTGTAATTTTACCAATGTTACAATATCCATTCAATGCAGTATTTACGGGACAAAATGGTGGGAATTCAACATTGTCACAGAACCAAGGGTTAATTTGTTGGTTCAATTACTTACAATATATTTTCTCTTTTTTCATTCATAAAACACAATGTGGACTTTCTATTTAGAGATTGATTATAATAATCAATCAAAATTACTCTTTAAGAATAGTCATACTAAGTTAACCTATGCAGATTTGCAGAATGCGTTTAGGCAATTAGTTATTCAGAAGTGTTGCAATTTTTTTTCTTTTATACATTGGCAGGTTTGACATTTTTTCCCTCATTAAAATAACATGATGTTGTATTTCAAAACGCTACATTGAAATCAATTTGTTTGAATCATGGAATGTGATATTTTCTTTCAAAACTAGAATTCACAATTGAAACTTTGATTTACGAATTGCATTTTAATGGTTAAAATTTAGTTGCCACTAAGATTTTTTTAAACAACTTTATTCAAAATGTGCGAAAAAACAGATTCTCTAAAACAATAAAAGATTAAAAATCAAAATTACTATACGAAAAATAAGAGGCGTTGAGATGCTTGAAAACTTTAATTCATTCATAACTTTAAATTCATATGTATGAACAAACTATTATATATGCAATTTTAAATTCAAAACTAACATAATCTGCGCACACGGTTACCCAATATTATAATTATCATTTGTGAGTAAACAGTAGTTATTCCAAAAGAAAATTTATCTTAATTTTTTCTCCCTCAATTTTAATGATGTCCAAAATCACAATTCCAAGAGAGAACGAAAGGGAAAACTTGAAAAATTATCAAGAAGGGTAAACGGATCATCGGTTTCCATTGATTATTATTTGAAGAGAGGAGAGAGAGGGGTGACTTGAGTAAGGGCAAAATGGAAAGAACACAAAAATTTTGCTCTTGCACCGTATAATTTTCAAGTACACATATCATCTTTTCATTCATTGAGAATTTTGTGTAATCCACATGTCATCTTCTAATTCGTAGATGTTTTTACTGGGTATTTTATATAAGTAATATGATTATTTTAAACACAGTCAAATGATAATTTTCTTAAAATAATAACTTTCTTCGAATGAAATGTTTGACACCGACAATCTCCAAATCATCAAATTGACCATAAAAATATCTCCGGCCATAAAACTCTCCAGAATCTTTTGTTACCCGTTACTGTGTGTAAAAAACAAAAAAAGAACCGCCATACTCAGTCGATTTTGATATCGACGACGATGACTGATACTCCAAAAACAATACCGACTACAATACCCCTAATGTATCATTTCAGAAATTCCCCTCTCCGGCAAACTCTCTAGCCATTTTCTCTCCAATTTGTAATG